AAATTAATTATACAAATCGATTCAGAACTTCTGGACCACCCTTTATGTACGTAGACAGTTACTATGCAGAAAGTTCGAAAATCAGTGTCTGTTCATTCTACTCATCAATCTGATGATGTTATTGAGCAATCATCCATAGATCAACGAAGATATTTAGAACCTCCATTGGAGTATGCAAATATAAATAATAGCATTTTTTTTTTCTTAAGTTTTAATTTTTAGTAAAACAAAATCATTGCCAATAAAACAATCAGATGGAAATTCGAAGCGTAATAGTGCTTATATTTCGTAAGTATTTGCTGATGCTTTTTAACTTGTATGGATCATAGTCTTCAAAATCGAAATTAAAATACTTCAAGCAGTATATTAATTAACACCAAAGCATGTATTATAACAAATATTGAAAAAAAAAGTATTCATTTTTAATTTTTAACCGTTTGTTTGTTTGTTTTTTTTTATTTTAATTAAAAAATATAGTGATCTTATCAATGTTGAAAGTTTGCTCAATATTCGAGAAATGCAATCTATACAACGCAAACTTCATAATACTTCATCATTTGAAGATCGTATTATAATAAATGTATGTGGTGATCGTTATGAAACTCATCGTACAACACTTAAACGTTATCCAGATACATTACTTGGTAATCGTAAACGATGCAAATATTATTATGATAAAACACATAATGAATATTTTTTTGATCGTAATCGATCATGTTTTGAAGCAATACTTTATTATTATCAATCACATGGCCGATTAAGACGGCCAAATTATGTTCCAATTGATACATTTCTTGAAGAAATTAATTTTTTTCAATTAGGTCAAGAAGCTCTTAATCAAATACGAAAAGGTGAAAATATTAAAGAAGTTAAAAAAGTACCGTTACCAAAAAATCGTTTTCGAAAATATTTATGGGCAACTATGGAATATCCTGATTATTCAATTATGGCTAAAATTGTTAGTATTTTATCATTACTTATGATTCTTATTTCAACTATTGCTCTTGCTGTTGAATCATTACCACAATATACAAATCTTGAGCAATTAGCTTGTTATAATTCACCTATTAATGATTCAAATAATACAAATGAAACAGCACAAGTTTTGCATGATAGTGAAAATACTTGCAGTGATTATCTTAAATCATCGTTTTTTATTATTCAAAGTGTATGTGTTGGATTTTTTACAATCGAACTTATACTTCGTATAATAAGCGCACCAGGATTTATTGATTTTGTAAAAGATATAATGAATTGGATTGATATTATAGCTGTTGTACCATATTTTATTACACTTGGTATATACTTAGCTGATCAATATAATGCAATCAATACATCAACAGCTGATGGTCTTCGTTTTTTACGTATTCTTCGTTTTGCACGTGTTCTTAAATTTTATCGTGTATTTAAAAATATAAAATCTTTGCGTGCATATGGAGCAACAATTCGAGAATCAATATTAGATTTTTTGTTCTTGATTATTATTTTAACATTATTAAGTTTTTTTTTTGGTGCTGCTGTTTATTTTGCTGAAAATGATGTAAATGGTCAAACATTTGATTCTGTACTTAAAGCAACTTATTGGGGAATTATTACAATTACAGGTGTTGGGTAAAAAAAAACATCAGAAAAAAATTTTTATTTTCGATTCTAAAAAAACAAAAAAACAAACTTCTTTTTAGATATGGTGATATGACACCTATCACACCAGCTGGACGAGTAATAACATGTTTCTGTGCATTATGTGGTGCTGCAACAATTGGTATGCTTGTCTCAATTCTGGTGGATCGATATCAACGTGTTTTTGCTCGAAAATTATATATAAATGAAGATATAATTGATTTTTCGGATTTTTCTGATGATGAAAATAATGATGCAGATTCTAGACGTGGTTCAGCTCTATTTCATCGACGTCGTAGTACGAAAGAAACTGAAGATTCTAGACGTAATTCAGGTCTATTTCGTCGACGTTGTAGTACGAAAGGAAGTGAAGATTCTAAACATGGTATAAATCTATTTCATCGACGTCGTAGTACGAAAATAAGTGAAGATCCAAATGTAAGTGCTAGACATAATTCAATATCTGACAAAAATAATAAACATGTAATACCTATAATCAACGTTTCATTAGCACCGGATATAGAAGATATCGATGAAGATTCAATGAATCAACATAATAGTGGTGTTCATTTTATTATGGGTTATGTTGATAATGAAAAACATGAAAAATCACGTGATTTTTTAGAAACAATAAGTTCTGCTGTTGCTCAAAAACGAACTTCTGGTGATGATATAGAATTACGTATCATATCTGATGATCAACAATCATCAAGTTCAAATGCTGCTAAATTTCGTATTTCCATGTCTTCCGATGAAGCTACAGATGATGATGACGACGATGATGATGATGATGATGATGACAGACTAACCCAAATTACTACTGATAATTGAAATACAAAAAATGTACTAAAAAAATTCAATGTGTACCATTACCAAAACATAAAAAACAATTTGATGATGCTGAAAAAAATCTATAATTTGTTTAATAAATACATGCTCTATATTGCTTTATGGGTTGTATTTATCAAACATATTCTCTTGATGATTGGGATGTAGGCATTTACCCACACTCTCACTTAATGAAATGTTTTTTCCTAGGGGAAAATAATGATTGAATTTTTCGAAAGTCAAGCAAAAAATAGCTTTGTCATTATACAGAAAAAAATTCTTCCTCATATAGATTCTTCTTAACCAGTCTTAATAAAAAAAAAAGAATCGTGTATACTGACGAATAAGATTCTGAATATGATGTCGTTTTCGATGGAGTAATCAATCAAAATAACAAAAAAATATAAACAATTATTCTTAATTGAGTATTTCTATATTTTAATGTTTTTATAAATATGACCGAATCATTTTAGTATAATTTATTATCATAAAAGGATTGTATATCTAATGATATATAAAACTATTGGAACAATTCTAAATTATAGTTTTTATAATTTTTCTAAATAAAATATTTCTAAAATGATCATTTAACAATCAAATTGAGATAATTCGACAATACTCAGTCCTACAAAAATCAAAATAAATTACCACAATCGATGATAGATGAAGTACTTCATTGTCTATTGTACTTACAAATCTACGGTCTTTTTTTATAGTTATCTTATTGTGGAATAGTGCTTGTCCTTAAATGAAAATATAATTTTTATATAAGAAACTAAATGGTAGGCAAAAATCATATGGTATCATGTCACTTGTTCGTAAAGCACACTTGCTCGCAATGTGTTAGGAGAGTAAGAATGGATTGACAATGAGGATGAATGTGAGGGTATTGTTGACGTGACACGATTGTTTATCTACAATTTGAAAGGAAGACTGGACGTAAAAGTTGTGACTTTAAAAAAGCTGAGGAGCATTAAGCAATAGTTGCAAATACTTCTTCAAAATGGATTCATAATATTTTGTGTTAACCTAGTTTTCCGAGTGGAATAGTGAAAATATAATAGAAAACAAACCGATTGAAATACTTTCTTTAAGTATTTGTTTTTGAGAATACGTTCCCTGTATCTTTCGTTTATCGTCACATGTATGATTTGAGAAACAAGATTAAAAAAGAATTCTACTTTAAAACCATAACAACAAATCAGTTGAGTCGAGCATGCACATCAGATTGGTTCGTCTCTTTGAATCCACGAAAATTATACTTTTCGTAGAATAGGATAAGTATGTCTGGTGTAATAGAAGCAATCTTGAGTATTCATTTATCAAAGTATTAGAATGTGTGCTTTTCGACTTTAAAACAATGTGACTTAAAATACCATCTGTATGTTAGAAATAAAAACAAGAGATACTTTTACGATACTGCTTCACTTCAACACAAGCTATGATCAGAAGTGTCATCTATTATTTTGTTTTCGTTCTTTTCAAGTAAATGCCATTGATTTTTATTTTTCATTCTTCTAACATTTATCGGTTTTTATTTTATTTTAGCGTTACAGGTTTGATTTTCATTCTATTCTACACGTTTAGTTATTGATTTGTTTCGTCGATAGTTCAAGTGAAATCTCAAATATGCTATGGAGTTTTCCAATATGATCGATGTTCGACAAATAGTGCCTGTGGCTGTATTCATATGACAGATGCTAGTGATATTAGCATTTGTGCCTTTCCCTGGGTGACTTAGTTCTGAACTTGTGTCGTGTGAATATCCAAACAATATATGTCGTGAGCTTAATCACATTTGTGTTCGTCATCCTCGATGCTATTTACAACCAGTTTGTTATCCAATGTCGACGATTGATCAACGAATCTGTCCGTCGATCGCAAGTAAGAAAATAAGGGTGTCGGGGTGGTTGTGGGTGATGAGCTTCTCTCAACTCACATCCACACCCAACAACCCCAAAGCCAGAACATGAATTAGATACTATACTCGATGACCGATATACTGTTCTATTAAGACCTGTTATTCATGGAGCTTTTCAAAAAAAAAAAAATTCAAACGATCTATCAACAATTTCTAATCTTTATTTCTATTGTGAACACTTACTCTTGTACTATTTACATAAATCGACGTCATTTGGTTTCATCTATGAACTCCACATTTTATTTTGAAAAAAATAAGCACGAAAAATATTGTCGTCACTAGTTTGCATACTCTGTGGTGCACATATGTGATTCTTATGAATGAGCAATGTGAAGAATACAAATAATGCGTAAAAAGAAAAAGAATAAGCGTCGAAGTAACTTAGGTAATTCGTATTGTTTCTATGCTATTCTTTTCTTTTTGCCTGCGTCACAAGCTTAAAAAAAAACAACTCAAAAGAAGTGCAAGTATTACGATTGTCATTCAGAACTGTCAAAACTGCTTTTGAGTTGTTATTATTTTATAATCCCTCAAAACATTGTAGCTTAAAAATGGGTTGTATTGGTGCTGTAATGTCGTCATATACACAGGAAGAACTTGATGCTGAACTTGCAGCTTTTGTACCTCGATAACCCATGGCCGTACTTATGAATGGTGGTATTATCAAACTTGAAGGTCTCAATGGATTTTTCAATCCGAATTCTCTTCTCGGTCCAAGTTAGTTAAAAGGTAAAATGACAGCAGAAGAATTTTCTCAAGCGATCGATTTAATTAACAAACGCTCGGCTTACACTCAAGTTGGTATGAGTAGAGTTTTTTTTCGTAACTGACAAAATCACAGCGTGATCAACTACGAACTCAAGCAGGTATGGCTGCAGTACAAGAAATCAATCAACAAAATTCATCTGTTCGTTTCACATATCACGAAACAGTCGAAAATATGCAAATGAGTTTAGCATGGAGTAACGATCCGGCTGTGCGCCTTGCAACAAGAAACCAAGTTAGCGTTGCCAATGCTACAGTAACTGTACTTTATATTTGTGTAAATTGATTTATGTGCGAATTGATTGACATTGAATGAATTTTTCTGTTTTGTTTTTTATAATATTCTACCATCAAGATTTCGACGAATTGGTTCTGATGATATAGTTTAAAATAGATCACTGAAACTTCAGTTTTTTTTAGATTTATCAATACTAATAATGTGAAAATATGTCAACTCAGTTGCATCTCAAGCTTCTATACTTGGTTTTAGTGAATTTGTTCTCTATTCATTTTGATGAATATCATGTATATTTATTCAGCGAGTCTTGTCTACGTTTATTTTTAGTGAATTGTATCTATACTCATTTTTGTGAATATTATCTATGTAACTCTGGTGAATCTTGCCTATATTCACTTTGTCCAATATTATCTTTATTAATTTATTGAACCTTAACTAGACTTATTCTTGGTGAGTTTACTTTTTAGTCATTTGATCAATTTTCTTTTTTTTTTTTTTTTATCTTATTGAATATCATCTATGTTAATTCAGTGAATCTCGCCCATATTTGATTTGAGTGAATTTCTTCTATATTCACTTTGGTGTCGAAATCTATCAATATTACGAGAATTGTTTCCACCATCAATTGAACAACTAGGAAAAAGGAAAAATAGTTGTACTTCGACAATATCAATCGAAAAAGGGAAACAATTAAATAAAGAAGACGATAATATCACTGTACTACAAGATGATATTGTTGATATAACTTTTGACGACAATGATAATGATGCTGATAAAGAAAATGATGATTTTGATAGTATATGATTTAATGATTAATGAATGAACTTATCAAATTTTTGTTCATATACATTTGTTAGTTTTTGCTAATTATGTGCCATAATTGTTATTGAAAATCAAAGAATACTATATAACGATACCTTAATGGATAAAAAAATTTTCTGGAACGCTATTTTTTACTAGTTATTCCCGTTAGATGAGTAGTCAGTATTTAAAGTTTATTAGTTTAGCAATGAGTGTTCTAATTTGAATTGAATATCCTTAAGATTTTCAACTGATAATCTAAAGAAGTTAGGTCGAAATATTCTTCTGTACAGTATACCCATAGATATATACATATATATTAAAACAGAAATGAGTAAAACGATAAACGACTCAAAAAAATAATAAAAAAAAATGTAGTAAACAACTTGGAAATCATTGCAGTAAATACGCAGTAAGTGGAACCAATGCTTGTGGAGAACATAATGGTATTAGAAGATGTGGTGCTGGGTTGTCAAATATTACAAACTGGTCACCATTTTCTAAGAACTTTAAGCTATCAAGTATGATGCTTCGTCATCGTAAAGTTCAATCAAAATATATGTGAATATTTCTACAAAAGACTACGTTACAGCGCCTTTAAAAAAATTTTGAATCTAATCTATTGTACTTGAACTCAAGGGGGAAAAAGCGAGACTTCAGGAGTGCATACTTCACCGATACTTCACCAGTACTTCACCGATACTTCAGTGATACTTCACTGGTACTTCACCAGTACTTCACTAATACTTCACTCTACTTCACTAATACTTCACTGATACTTCACTAATACTTCACTCTACTTCACTAATACTTCACTGATACTTCACTGATACTTCACTAGTACTTCACTCTACTTCATTCTACTTCAGTGGTACTTCACTATACTTCGTGGTCCGTTCCTAAATTATATCTAATTCTTGCAGTACAGGATGTCCGAAAAGTCTGGTCGAAAAGTAAATTCGTATAACTCCACTATTTATCAAGCTAAGTCAACTAATGTTTTTTTCAATGATAGATATCACTGTGAAGTTTGAATTGATATGGGCAAGCTTTACAAATACTGTCCAAAGTTATCAGTTTTAGCTGAAATGCAAAAATCAGTCTTTTTCTCATTTCGAAATAAAAATTACGCAGTTTTTATCTTCTAATGCTCCAATTTCTTGCGTTTTTTGAGATGTTTAGATCGGCTAGATCTTATGCTATCATTTATATGCATACGTAAGTAAAGTTAGCACCACATTCGAGTATTTTTTGTCCCGATTCGCTTTCTTACCTGTG